TTTAACAATTAAATTGATCAATCAATGTCATAAACATACCACCAAAGCAATACAGCCTTCTGAAGCCAGAAGGGGAAGTCAGCTCATTTACCATATTCTGTTTTCACATTATGATACCCTCAATTGCCAAAGAGCCTTCTAGAATCCTCCAAGGACCTTTTACTGTAATGTGAAGCTTCTCCCAGAATGAAGAAAACATAGCATGTATTTAGAAGTGAAGTCCCACTCTTCTTCAGGAAAGATAATTATTAAATTCTTCGAGGCCCTTCACAGATTATCCACACACTACCTATTATTTTAGTTTTATAAAGATGTCAACTCCCACCTCTAACTGTCCCACAGTGTCTTTGGCCTTTGTCCCTTACTTATGATTTTCAAACAAGCACCTTTGGGCTTTTTCCCATGCAGCCTTCATGCTAAGGAGGAGCTCCCCCTCCACAAAGCTACCTCTTTATCCTTCTTCAAATACCTCAAGAAGCTGATGTGATGCCTGCAAAAAGTGACAACAGTTAAGTCACTGGTATCCTGTGACAACTTGTACCATGAAGGCCAAAATGGCCTCCTTGTTTCATTGTGCTCCTCAATATTGCTGCATTGATCTGCATAGTCTTCTGTTTTATTAGCCAAATGAAACAAGGTCTTATATGCAACACAATGGCATTTTTCTGTTTATAATTTAATCATTGCATCTAATCAGTTCTAAAATTTCAGAAAGTGTTCTAGGGCATCAGTGGGCAGAATGGTCTCTATGTATTTGAGTGAAAAATCTAAGAGCTGAAAATGACACGAGGATCATAACAGAGCCTGACATCTGGTTAGCATACTCAGAAGCTCCTACCGAGAATTGCAGGATTGATCAAAGAGCTGATTGATGGCTACCAATAGCACCTTCCACCATTACAATACCCCCCTTTTCAGCTCTGACCAGTCTCCCAATAGAGTTTTAAAATATTCATTCTGAAGGACTTATTTCTGCCTGAGAAAGAAATGGGAGGGAAGGGGACACAGCATCTGCTACAGAAAAAGAAGAAATTCAGGGACTTCCTGCCACCTGTGTAAATAAAGTAGATGGGATACACAGGGAGCTTCTGAGGGGAAATCACAAGAATGCCACATGTCCCTAACACATGCAATAAATTCAGTGTGGAGAAGCAATGAAATCTGTGACCTTCTAGTACTTACTCCACTACACATTATATAAACTTTTTGAGGCAGCAAATGTCCCTGTTTCAGGCTTCTAGATGCTACCACACCAATACATCTTTCAAACAGCTCTAGCACAAGAAATAAAAGTGCCTCAGTCCTAACCAAGAGTAGCCAGCTCAGTGTAGATTTGGTTTCTTAATTGAAAATGACAAGATTAGACTAACTATAAAACCTGACGTAGATCCCTAGCTGAGCACCACTCACTCAAACTCTGGCATCTCTAAAATTTTAAAAGCTACCATTCAAACAATGCATCTCTGGAAATATGTTACAGAATAGCTATTGCCTCAATATTAAGCAAGATAGGCAAAACTGTTCAACTGGGGGTGAACAAAACAAGGTAAAGGAAAAGTACCTTCTTCATTCATATCTGGTTGCAGATGTACAGTGACAGACAGTCTCCAACCAACAATAAAACTCTTGTTAATGACCTTTGTGGATGAGCAATTCATATATGCTCCTCTCATAAGCTGATGGGTTTTTAGAAAAAAGGAAATACTGTGCAGAAAGAATTTCTGGACTAACTTTTGGAAGAATAATCTTAAAAGAGCCTTACTTTCTTAATTACTTTTTTTGGCTCAAGGAGCTTTACAGTTTTGCTGTTTTTTTAAAAAATGAGATTTGTTTTAAATCACTAATCTCAGATTTATTAGGTTTAGCTGCATAGTGCAGGGCTGGGGTTACGTTTTCTAGATCCTTTGCAACTCCCAGCAAGATCTGCTAATGGGGTCTTCAACTGTATGTACTACTGAAAACATTTTGGCTTTATCATGGATTTTCTCCCAGTAAACATTCACAATGTGAACTTAGCAATAAAGTACTCCATTATCATGTTCCTAATGCCATACTGGAGAAAATAATTTTGGCAAAGTAAATGGAGCAACTGCCTAGCCCGGGAATGGGGGGGGGGGGGAAATCAATAACTTCCCCTTATGCAGAGGTGACCAACTTGTTCCTGCTGGGTGCAATATCATTGATTTCCCTTTCTACTAGAACGATGCTTTATTCTCTCTGCAGACAGACAGTGGGGCATGATTTTGTCCCTCTTACTAAAGGTTAGGCAGCAGACTATATTAGTTCAATAGAACACACTAGGACAAGAAGGGCACCTTTGTCAGGGCGCCCGTCTGAAGAGAGCTGCAGTAGCTACAAGGTTTATTGGCTAAGGACTGGACACAGAATCTCTGAGAAACATCATTGATTTGAACTTGTTTCACATGTCACTGCTTGACAAGTAATCCAGACGACCTATAATATCACATTTAGAAACATCCAAGTCTTCTTCTGTACATCAACTAACCAGTCCTATTTCAGATTTCCAATGGCAGAAGAAGGAACAAGGTTTTTCTGTTTTTGTTTTTGTTTTTTAAAGAAGATAGTTTGACTAGGTTCCTGCTTAGTTTTGGTTTGTTTTTCTGAAGGATGAGGATGGTAGAATGAAGTGGATGAGAGATCACAACACCACTTCCCTTAAGGCAAATTTAAAAATAAGCTTTAAAAAACTTTAAGTGAGAAAAGACACATTAGATTGCTGCCCCTGCAAGATTGAAATCCTCAACCGTGCTACAACACTCAGCATTTACACAGTGCTTTATAAAACAGAGTGCTGTGCAAACATCCCCCCCACACACACACACACCCATCCCTGTGAGATGAGCAGGTGCAACTTTTTTAAAAATAGGTATAAGCGGAAGTTATCAAGAAATTAAGACACTACTTGTTCAAGGTCACAAAGCAAGTTGTTTGGCAAAGCCAGAGCTCAGGAGTTCAACACCCAACCTCTTGCTCAACTTTAGGCAAGTTAGATTGACCCAGTTACATTGCTCAGGGGTGCAAATCCACATCCCCGAGCAATGCAATTAGGCCAAACTCACACCTGGTGTAACCAGTACTAGGCTGATGGAAGAATTCATCCATGAATCTAGTTATTCCTAAGAGGTGGATTAACTACAGTGATGGAAGAACCTGCTCTGTCAGGGCAGCAATGCTACAGTGTAGACATTTACAGCAGCTGTGCCACTGTAGAAGTAGATATTCTTAGTCTATGCTGCCTTGTGTCACAAAACCAGTACCCCATGGACAGCAGTTCTGCTAAGTTCCTCACACATACACTTCAACCTGCAATATGGTCCCTCAGAGTTGAATGCCACATACAGTCAGTCTCTGCCTTCTTTGCCCAGGCTGCCAATGAATTAGTTGCAAGATGTATATTTCAGATGCACACCCTTAAACAAACCAGGAACTGGACTTCTATCACCAAGAAGCGCTACATGGAGGTTACTGAACATTAACCTGCAGATGGGAATGGCTTTTAGTCACTGCTGACTTGGCCCCTATTTGAACTGGTATTTGAGGTAAAATGTTATTTTCCATTCCCATCCCCTGAAGTCTCCTTGTCTTACAGCTTTTCACTTCTGACATCCAGTTTTTCTTCTCTATACAGTCTCAGAATTACTAACTTTAGAAACATTTCACGTAGAATATTTATCATCTTTTGTCTTCTGTACATAGGATTTTTGAAGATGGCAAGAGTTGTGCTATTGTTCAGTGTCTACTTCTTATATGGTGAACTGGTTAGTGTCTCAAGATAGAAATCTTCCCAATCTACTCTCCCACAATCTTGGCAGCTACAGACATGCTTACATGAAAATATATATATTATATATTTGGACACTCACTATTGCAAAAGAGAAAAAGACTTTAAATGCAATGGTTTTTTCTGCTTTGTTTTATCCCCGCATTTTGCACCTCTCTGTTCTCAGTGTAAAATACCAAAATCTCCCCTTGTTTACTTGGAGCCATCATCTGGTGTGACCAGAGCTGATTGGAGTAATTTGTCTGTCCTCCAGCAAGTTTATTACCTCTGTGGAGGCAGGAAAAGGGAATAAGGGAATTTGTGTGCAGCCATCTTGGTCTTCTTAACAAGAGAGCAAGAGTCAGGCTAAGTCTGTGGCCTGACAACGTGAGATCTGTAATTAGACGCTGCCTTTGCCTCTCGCCACCATACGGAGATAAGGATAGAATGCTGACTCTGGTAGGGACCTTGAGATAAGGAGCATCTGGGTGGAACTAAATAACTGTTAGCCATTGGTGTTTGTAATGGGAAGGAGACTAATTGTTATTGTTATATCTAATAGACAGTATATAAACTGCTTCATAATTGCTTGTATTCGAAGATCTGCCTCGGATGGGGGGGCTCCCCCCCGTCCGAACCAGTTTTTCCCTTGTTGCAGCTCATAATAAAACTGCCTCTGGCTACTTGTTGCTTACAAACTCAGAGTGAGGACAATGTTTTCTTCCACACCTCTTCAATTTTTTTTATCTACTTACAGTAAAACTCCAATTGTCTGGCATCCAGTGGTCTGGCACTCCTGATAGTCCGGCACCAACTAGAACCCAGAAGTGCTCCAGCCAGCTGGACAATTGGAGCTGCTCTGTGCAGCTTCCCCAAGTCCACTGCTGCTGCTACTGAAACTGACCAGCTGCGGACCTGGGGAAGCGGTGCAAAGTACCACCCCTTACCTGAGCGGCGCTGCGGGACCAACCCAGCAGCACCCCAGCTGCTCCGCCCAGGGCTTCCCCAAGTTGGCCACTGGTCAGTTTCAGCAGTGGCAGCCATGGGGCAGAGCAGCTGGGGTGCTGCCAGGTTGGTCCCGCAGCGCCGCCATCACCAGCACCTGGTTCACTCCACGCTGCGCTGTTCCCTGCCCGATTTCCCCTCCCCCCAAGACCCATCACAGTCCCCCTGCCGGAGTACCTCCTGATACTCCAGCATATCCGATAATCCGGCACCCCTTGGATGCCAAAGGTGCCGGATTATCGGAAGTCTGCTGTATTTAAGTACTGGATTGTAATCAAAAGAAAGCATAGAGCACTAGGACGCACTACACATAATGGAGTTATTTTTATTTATTTCGTCACAAAGGCCTCTAGAACTTGAACAATGTCTTACTCAGGTTACAGTTAGCAGAAGCAGATATTGCTTGACTATGCATTATTTTAGAACGCTTAAGAAGGAGCTTTTCAGACCACATGGAAAAGACTCCTTAACAAATTTGGGAATCATAGATCAGACCTGACATCCCTGTCTGTCCAAGTGGGTGGGAAGTTTCCCTTTTTATTGAACTTGTAAGCTCTTCTTTATAATAGGATAGTTTAGACTGTGAAATTACAGGATTCAAAAATAAAAAGTTACATTTGATATGCAAATGTATTACTCTCCAATACAACTTGATGTGTCCTCATTGTTAAAATTACCAGACACTAGGAACAAGGACTCATAATGCTGTTACAGAAAATAAATGATAGGTTAAAGAAATTAGTTCAGCATTCTTTAATATCATATTCTGGCTGACATTTTCAAAGTCAGTGCTGAAAATTTGATGTGTAGCCGATTCAGATCTACAAACACGCATAAATAATGAAACCATCCATTGAGGCAAAGTGTCAAACTTCCTGAAAAGATCTTCCACTAAAATCATGCTTTTGTATTAAACAGTATGCCCAAGCCTCTAACTTAAAAGTTTACAGTAACTTTCGGAAGAACAGCAAATGACCACATCAATTACATAAAGTGATAACAAGACTTACTTGCATTTGAGGCAAAGGGACATGTTACTGGAGATTATTAGGATGAAATCTATTACCTGTTTTCCATCCAGCGTGTACAGGCGTTTAACCACTCCCGAATCCAGCTTGATGGCATCAGTTATGTCGGTAAGAACCTGTTCAAATGAATGTGCTGTCTTCTTATTCAGCAGAATTCGGACTGCTTTACGTGGTTTCACACCACTCCTGATGATGGTGACCAGTTTAGGCCTAATGAAATCCTTATTCTCTCTTGCATCTGAAGGACTTCCTTTGGCCGTGGCAAGAGATGGCACCGTACGGGAAGTGGAGGTTGTCTTAACATTCACTGACCAATTTGGGTTTACATTCTTTGTGTAGTCCAGTTTTTTGAAGGGTTCTATTGAACCACACACATAGCTCTCCCCTGAAGGTAAAAAAGAAAAACAAACATCAGACCAGTAAGTCAGATGAACGTAAAAGACTTTTCAAAAACTCCCATTCTTGCAATGTCCTATTTTTGATCCACCCTGTATCAGTCATGTCTTTTCTCTCTTTATCCTCTAAGAGGTTGTATCTTTCAAAGACTATACTATGATCTACACCTTGCCACCTACTAATAGCATTTTATATATTATATATAAAAAAATAAAACACACACACACTGAATTAATGCAGTCGTTCTCTTGTATGCAAGATCTTCAAAGGTTCCCCTCACCCCCAGCACACTTTAAATATTGTATTGCTGCTGTTTAACAGATACACAACAGCCAGAGTTTCTCCAATCCAACAAATTAGAGCAGTTCCCTGATTTAGTGTATTCACTGAGATTTTCAGAAACCCAGAGCTAACAGGGAAAAAATCCCAAAACACCAAAATATTGGCCTCATACTTTGAGTAACATACACAATAGAATTAAGAAAAATAATTCAGACATAATGCTATTTTCCACAAAACAAGGTTCTTGGCACTTTAAATTAAAACTTAATTTCTTAGTGAATAATCAAAAGCTTATGATTTTTAAACTAAGTTAAATCCTTAATGTAATTAATATGCGAAGAGTAAATTAAAATAAGAGCTCTCACAATGTTAAATGCTTCTGGCTCAGAAGTTACAAAGCTTAACTACATTGTTATAAAAATTAAGGTCAAAAGAAACATTTTCATGGAAAATACCATTGCAATATTTTTGTTCAGAATTAAACATTTCGCCTGCAGCACAAAACGTTGTACCAGTGCATAAGCCAAAAATGATAACGGCTAGTCTGCTCAGTGAAGAAACTGAATTAAGTGCAACAGGTAAAACCAAGAGAATTCACTATGAAGTAGAATTTAGATGTTTTACCTCTTCCTGTTTCAGTAGTTTAATATGTGTTAACACAATAAAATCCACATGATTACTTTAAAGGGGCAAGGAGTCCTGTGGCACCTTATAGACTAACTGAAATGTTGGAGCATAAGCTTTCGTGGGCGAAGACCTACTTCGTCAGATGCAACTTTAGATTCTTAGTGCTATACAATGGAGTGGGAGCCAAGTATATGCCCCCATAACATTGATTTCTACTAGGAAAGCAACTGCAGGTTCCTTGTTTTTTGGTATTACAAACAGAAAGTCAATGGACAAAAGCAAAATTAGTTTTAAGAAAGTAATTAAATAAGGAGAAATTAATGGATCTCCAAACCAAGATGAGGGATGTACATCTGTCAAGACTAGCAGTGCTGGGAACTAGAAATGTTAAATTGCAGTTACTGAGCTAATAAAGGACCACTATGCAGAGATAGCCAACCAAGCTACAGCTTGAGTAAGAGCCAACCATGCTACAGCTCTGCATTTCAAATGTAGTAGGAGCCACCAGGTAGCTCTTACTACATTTAAAATGCAGAGGCGCAGTGTCTGCCCGAGCTGGGACTGCTCAGTCCAGCAGCCCCCATTCACGGCAGACTGCCCAGCAGACCCTGCTGGGCCCAGCTCCCTGCTGGGCCCCCTGCAGACAGGGGCTGTTTCGCAGCAAACTCCCCATCCCCTCTTCTGCCTCCAATAGAGCTTTTAAGCTGGGTTCCCCCAGCACTGGCTCATTTACCCCCCTTGCTGCCTCTCAGACTCAAGCAGTCATGCTCACCCTGCATTTCCACTGTGGCACTTCAGCCTTTGAAATGTAGCAAGACGCGGGCCCTTTGCTACATGTCAAAGGCTGAAGCCCTGCAGTGAGAACCAGTGCCAGTGTGGACTGCTTCAGTCCCCGCTCGCACAGTCTCCCTGCTTTGCCTCTGCCTCCCCTGCCCCTCTCAGAGACAGTGCTGGGGAGAACTAGTTTTTAAGCCGGCTCCCCCCAGCTCCAGCTCCTATTCCCCCCCCTTGTTGCCTCTGATAGAGGCAGCAAGGGGGTGTGCAGCAACTAGTCAAGTCACTACTTGACACGAGAAGTCATTCTTCCCCTCTACTCTGCACTGATTAGGTCTCAGTTGGAGTATTGTGTCCAGTTCTGGGCACCACATTTCAAGAAGAATGTGGAGAAAGTGGAGAAGGTCCAGAGAAGAGCATCAAGAATGATTAAAGGTCTAGAAGACATGAACTATGAAGGAAGGCTAAAAGAATTGGCTTTGTTTAGTTTCGAAAGGAAAAGACAGAGGGGAAATGATAGCAGTTTTCAAATATCTAAAAGGGTGTCACGGGGGGGGAGGGGGAGGATAAAGAGCGGGAAATTGTTCTCCTTGGCCTCTGAGGACAGGACAAGAAGCAATGGTCTTCAACTATAGCAAGGGAAGTTTAGGTTGGACATTAGGAAAAAGTTCCTAACTGTCAGGGGGGTTAAACACTGAAATATGTTGCTTAGGAAGGTTGTGGAATCTCCATCTCTAGAGATATTTAAGAGCAGGTTAGACAAATACCTGTCAGGGATGGTCTAGACCAGCAATTCTCAAACTGTGGTCCCTGGACCACTACGGGTCCATGGCCACCCTGGTGGTCCACAGCTTGAGCTAATCCCCCCCTCCATCCTCCCATAGCAGGGAGCATGCTGGCACTCTAGCCTCGCATCCACCAAACCCCGACCCTGCCAGGCCAGCTCAAGAGAGACAGAACAGAGCCACGCTGTGTTTCTCGCCTCTCTCCTGCCCAGGTCAGCTGAGGGAACAGCCGCGTAATTAAGAGCTTTCCCCACAGGGAGGAGAGAGTGTGAAGAAAACTCAGACCTGGGACAGCAGAATAATTAAGGGCTCTCCCCATGGGGAGGGGACGGGAGGAAATGTCAAGAAAGCCCCAATCCCAGGACAGCAGCATAATTAAGGGCTTTCCCCTCTGAGGGAGGGAATATGAATTAAGAGCAGAACAAGTGGCTCAAGGCTGCATTTCTTGCCTCCCTCCCACCCAGATCGCTGGGGGAACACCAGTATAATGACAGGTTTTCCTTTCCACTCTCATTGGCTGGAGATGCAGCCAATGGGATCAGTAGGAGACCATATTGGGACCCACAAAGGAGTGGAGCCAGGTAAGCAGCTCCCCTCATCTCCCTCACTTCTTTTCCCCCCGCTCCTGCAAAAAGACTCCACACCTCCAGTTTGCTCCCATAACAGGGCTAGGCAAAGATAATCTGAGAGCTGATGCAGCTCATGAGAGCCTGAGCCAGCCCCCTGCCTGCACCACCCCCACTGGGCATTTAGGAAAGCCAGCTGCAGGGCTACATGTGTGTATCCAAGAGCCTGGAGAGAGGGGTGACAGGCTTGTCATGCTGCCCGTGCCCTCAGCTGCTATTAACCAAAACTGGCCAATGGGAGCAACTGTTTGCAGGATAGGTAGCACGGAAAGTGCCCCTCTGTCCTAGTCTCCTCCTCCCCACCCTTTACAGCATTCAGTGCAAAGCAGTAAACATGACCCCTGCAGCTCCCCTGAGCAGGTACAGAGGCTGGATGGCAGGAACCCTGACTAAGGAAACTTCCGGGCTGCTGGCTGGGAGCCAGGTAAGATCTCTCAACCAAAATAAGCCCCTCTCTCCCCCAAACCTCTGCCCCCCTGCTCCAGACCCCATAGACCTTCCCAGACACTGCATCTCCTCATGTGCCCCACATCATGTCACAACTCCCTCCCAGGCCCTGAACCCCAATCCACCATCCCTGGTTACAGCCCGAATCCCTGAACCCCCTCCAGGTTACAACCTCCTTCCAAACCCTGCATCCTGTCCCGCACTCCTGCCCCAGGTCCCATTCACCTCCCAGGCCTTGCACTCCCTCCTCCTGCACCCCTCCACCAGGCCAGAATCCTCTCCTGCACCCATACCCTTCCCAGACTCTGCACCCCAATCGCCTGCCCCAAGTCACAACTCAACCCCCTCCACCCTACTCCTGGTTACACTCCGCTCCCAGTCCCTGGACCTCCTCCTGATCCTACACTGTTGCCCCATGGCATGATCCCCTCCTTAACCCAACCTCCATCCCAGATCCCCACACCTCCCCATTAATAATGGAAGAATGCAGCTCTCAATTACTTACCAAATTCTTGGAGTGCTCCCCGCATCAAAAATTATTGCCCACTCCTGCTCTGCACCCTTCCTCCTGGCCAGATATACTACCTCTAGCTTTCCCCTATATCCTCCCCTTGCTCCTGTACCTCTATCCTGCCCAGATACCTACCCTCACCCTGCTCCTGCATCTACCAATGCTCTTGCAACCTCCTTCTTGGCCACACACTGTACGCTCCTGTCAGCCAATGGTCAGGGCAGTGCACGTGTGTGTGTTACACCCGAGTCTTCAACTACTGAGACACAAGGCCCCGTCGCAGTGGGCAGTCTAGGTGAGACTGACGGGAGCCCCGAGGAGTTTAACGTCCGTGTCTTTACCGCTAGGATTGGGATCCCTTTGCGGCGGGCAGCCAACAGGCCGACAGATGCCCCAGAATTTACAGGGAGAGCTTATTACACCTCAGGTTTTGACTGCTAGGATACATGATCCCTTCGCAGCAGGCAGCCTAAGGAGGCTAGAGATGCCCCAATGGATCTGTCCCCTGGAAGCGACACAATCCAACGCTCAAGCTCTCCCTAGATCTGTCCCTTATGACTGGCTGGAGTTCTTTTTAAAATTGTGCTTGGTTCTGTTACAGCAACTGAAGGAATCAGGTCACAGCTTAAACAGTTACTATTTTATTGTTACAGGGTAAACTTAGCTGTTAAATGCTACTACTGTGTTACAGAGAACACAGCCTCTACAAAGGACAGGACAGAAATTACACTAATAAGTCACTTACAGGTACCATGAATTCCTTTTGGTTCTCTGACCTCTTATTAAATGCATGCAAAATAGACACCTAGCAGGTATATGTTCTCACCCCTGCGTTCCAGACTTGGCGTGGCCAGCATCTCTCTCTCAATCCCTCGGGAAGAAGTAGGGCGAGGTTGGGCGTCCCACAGACCTCGGGAGTCAATCAATACCTGCCAGC